ACGATAATTAGACACAATTTCTGGCTTCTGAGATATTATTAGAGTCAGTGCATCAAAATTATGAAAATTTTAACAAAATCATGATATGAAAAAGTAGCTCTGGCCAAGCTCAAAATAGCTCCCGTAAACAAAATTACGAGAGCTCTTTTTTTCATACAAAATCAAAAAAGAGCTCTCGTAATAAAAAAGTATTTTTTAGGCTGCCTTGGTGTCCTTGGTATTACAGAAATCGTATATGAATGTGCTGCTTGCTCCCCTATATAATGCAGCGACTATATACAGGTAGGTGATGCAGACGTGACACTTGCGTGGTTCCAGTGACTGCACATGCACTCGATCCCCATTGGTGGAAGGAGCCAACAGCCATCATTTACAATTCCACGCACTGCCAGTGTGGGCCACCGAAGATCCACCTGACTGTAGCAACCACCAGGCAGAGGCAGCTATTTGAGGTTAGCTGCTCATTGCAGGCAAGTCGTGCTTCATAGTCATTGAGCAGTCTCTCTGTTTAGTTCGTTGCCCAGCGATCACAGGGTTTGCTCGTAGGTCTTGCAACCCTCAAGGCTTAGCGTAATGGTGTATTTTTGAATGCGTACACCTGTGTTTTGTTGTGCAAGGAAATCATCATGGTTTTGCTGAATATCCACACAGGTATACTCGTGCATTGCAAGGAATTTAAGCTGTATGTATATATAGCTCTGGGCTCTATTCGAGATAATTAATGCAACTGGAACGGGCAGTTGGCTTGTTACTGTTATTCAGTTCAGTGCAGTTCAATTCGTGCTATGACTGGCAGTTTAGCAGGGCTTTAGAGACTGTAACCAAGTGGCGAACTCAGGTTTAGTTATTCGTGTAATGCTACAAATCATGTTTATGAGTAGAGTTTTGATGCAAAACTGAGTTTACGTGTCTAGAATATGCAGGATGTATTTAGCCGATGGTCTTTAACGTTTAAGCGTTAATGCATATATGCATTTATACATAACAAATTCACCAGTCATTGCAATAACGATTGTAAATGCATCAACAACCATACACAGTCGGATGTCTCAAGTACATGTGTATGACAGACAAATAAATTTACTGCTTGTTAAAAACCCACAGCCACTGAAGTGTACGTGGTTGTTGTTGTTGTTGTTGTTGTTGTTGTTGTTGCAATGCTATTGTTGTTGTTGTTGCAATGCTGTTGCTGTTGTTGTTGTTGCTGTTGTTGTTGTTGGTGTTGTTGTTGTTGTTGTTGTTGTTGTTGTTGTTATAGTATAATTCAGTTTCATGTTTTTTACTGTACGAGGGGGATAGCACATCTATAGTATTGCTAAATACGACCTAGCGTAGAGATAATGTTAAACTTAGGGTTAACCTTAGGTTCATGGTAATGGTTAGGGTTAGGTTAAACAAATAATTATGTTATGGTCATGGTTAGGTTACAGTTAGGTAAGGGGTTGGATAAGGGTTAGGGTTATGGTATGGTTTAAGCTAGGGTAAAGGTTTCAGTTATGGTGTGGTTTGAGTTATGGTATGGTTTGAGTTAGGTTAAAGGTTATCATATGGTTTGAGTTAGAGTAAGGGTTATGGCATTGTTTGGGTTAGGGTAAGGGTTATGGTATTGTTTTGAGGTAGGGTAATAAGGGGTATAGTATCGTTTGAGATAGGGTAGGGGTTATCGTATGGTTTGAGTTATGGCAGGGGTTATCGTATGGGTTGAGTTAGGGCAGGGGTTATCGTATGGTTTGACTTAGGGCAGGGGTTATCGTATGGTTTGAGTTAGGGTAATAAGGGGTATGGTATCGTTTGAGTTAGGGTAGGGGTTATCGTATGGTTTGAGTTAGGGCAGGGGTTATCGTATGGTTTGAGTTAGGGCAGGGGTTATCGTATGGTTTGAGTTAAGGCTGGGGTTTTCGTATGGTTTGAGGTAGGATAATAAGGGATATGGTAATGGTATCGTTTGAGTTAGGGTTGCGGTTATCGTATGGGTTGAGTTAGGGCATGGGTAATCGTATGTTTTGAGGTAGGGTAATAAGGGGTATGGTATCGTTTGAGTTAGGGTAGGGGTTATCGTATGGTTTGAGTTAGGGTAGGGGTAAGGGTTAAGTGATTCTCACCGTGAACCAACGATTGTCATGTGTTTGCAGACCCGCGCAGCCGTGGCGCCGGCAGCAGTCTGGCGGGCAAGATGACTAAGGTTCTGGACGTGCCGCTGCGCGCGCTCTACGACTACGACTACCGCACGGCCGACGGCCGTGACATCGCCATCCGCGAGGGCGACACATTCACACTGCTGCGCAAGTCCAACGACGACTGGTGGCACGTGATTCGCGATGGCGAGCGACGCCCGTTCTACGTGCCCGCCGCATACGTGAAGCCCATACAGCAGCAGCGGCACCACCACGACGCACGTCAGGGCCGCGAAGCTACCGGCGCCGCCGCCGACGTCGCCACCTACGAGAACCTACGCGAATGGACGGCGCCGCCGCGCGGTGCTCCGAGAACGAGCGGCAACGCGCTGCCGCCACCCGTCGGCGGCGGTCTGTACCGTCCAGCAGGGGGCGCTAGGAAGCCGGCTGTGAAGCCGCGGCGAAGGCTCGGCAAGGGTGACGCGAAGACGGCATACAAGTACCTTAGCCGCAGCACAGAGAACCTGGTGGGAGAGGGCGCCACTCAGCGGTCTGCGGCACATGTGGAGCACCGGCGCAACGAACGAGCAAACCGTGCGAGCCTCACCGACGGTGGCGACCTCTTTGATCGGTACATCGATGTCCGGCCATTAGGCGGCGCCCCCAGACGAGCAAAGTCGAGTGACGACCTACTCGGGGAGCCGGAGAGGGATGGGAAGCGGACGAGGAAGGTGGGGAAGGGTGACAGGGTTTATGGGAGCCCGGACGGAAGCTCCGACAACCACAACAACAATAACAACAACAGCGCGCCGCGCGTCTACGAGCCGATCCACTACAACGCGGAGAGCGACGGTGGCGCCCTTACGGTGTCGCGCATCCTTGAGGAAACGGCGGCGTACAATGAGCTGCAGGCGGGCCGGCCGACGAAGCACAAGGACTCCGGCTTCAGCAGCCTCGAGCGCGCTCTCGAGCCGACGCTGGCACCCCCTGCCACCGCCGACCCGCCGTATTTCGAGCCAGAAGCCGACTACGACAACCTGTCGGTGGACGAACGCGTTTATATAGGGCCGGCACTGAAGGTGGGGGCGCCACCGTTCTACAGGTATGGCGAGAGCGAGGAGGCATACGCGCGGGTTGGGCGGAGCGGGGAGGTGCAAGCGCCCCCTGGTGATCAAAGGGCATTCGAGAATCCCGCTTACACGAGTCCGGAGACGGCACAGGAACGGGATGAGCGGTGGTGGCGGGATGATGAGGGAGAGATTCCGAAGGAGAAGGTGCCGCTGCCTTTAGACCCGGAGGGGAGCAGTCTGAGTTCATCCACATACAGTCTGGTGAGTGCTTGCCTCGACATGTCAGTGTCTCGCCTCAGTGTGTCATCCTATGTCTCGACTCACAATGTCTCACCTCACTGCCTCGCCTCACTGTCTTCAATGTTTCACCGAGCAGTGTTTCTCGCCAATTTCTTGCCTCAGTGTCCAATATCTTGTCTTGATATCAAGCATCGGTGTCTGGACTTGGTGTCAAAGCTCTGTGTCTCATAATCTCGACACAATGTTTTGCCTCAGTGACCCGGTTTGCTTGTCACTATTTTCACGGATTTGAATTTCGTTCTCGTTTGAACAAAGTGTGTACATATGACAAACTAAATCGAGGAAATATCGCTTCCTGGCATTGCCGTGCAAGTATCTCACGAATGCCCACAACTGGCTCAATCGTGTGACCAAACAGAACTACTTTATGTGTGAGATCGATTGAGGTGCCATTGTGTAAGTTTTTTAATTCGATGTATATGAAACATCCATTGAGATAGCGAAGGTCATATTACATGAGATATTAACTAAAATATTGGCTGTACTATCGGCACAGATGTCTGCACGGGAGGTATGTCGTGTTTGGTGGTATAGTATTTTACTATGTTTGCACGAGACAAATGGTTTACTAGGCTAAGTAGACTTCACTGTACGGAATGTTAAAATCATTACTGTACGGAAACGACCGTATGCTGTGCTCATTCAGCTATGAGGATGTACACAAAACTGGTCGGATGATTGAGGATTGATCGGATGTAGTCTCATCGTGGATTATGGTCTGTTGGGTCAAATTATCAGCTACGTTCGCGTTTCACGACGTATGCGCGTGCGTGCGTGCGTGCGTGCGTGTGTGGTTTGTGTATGTATGCGTAGTTGCGTACTTGGCAAGTGTTCAAATAAAAATATTTGCACCAGCCACCACGTTTGTGTTCAAGGCAAACATAACTGGGCACCTGTGTTGTGCGGGCTGCCGAAAGATGCCGAGCTGTGTACTGTAGGTCGGTATTAGGATGATTAGGTTGAACCTACTGACCAAGCCTGCTATGTCCAATCCAGGGATAAGCATTCGAACATAGATAGTGTCAGTCCCAAAGTCGCGATTGGATACATCTAGCTAAGACCGTAGTGTGTGTGTGTGTGTGTGTGTGTGCGTGCGTGCGTGCGTGCGTGCGTGCGTGTGTGTGAACGCGTGCGTGCGTTCGTGCATATGTGTGCGAGCTCATGTGTGTATTCGTGCGTGCGTGTGTGTGTGTGTGTGTGTGTGTGTGTGTGTGTGTGTGTTGTGTGTGTGTGTGTGTGTGTGTGTGTGTGTGTGCGTGTGTGTGCGTGTGTATCGTTGCCCTAGGTTTCGCTAACGATGCATTATTATGATTATATGCGTAATTATAATAATGCAGCGAGTGCATTGGCCTAGAAACATACTTATCATGTGACGCACAGCCCTCGCCTTGTTTCTCCTGATTTCAATGGATGTGGACTGAATTCGATATTCGACTGAGATGAAATGGTGATAAATCGCTTGCAATGAGAGAGATTTGTAGCCAGTATGCTCACCACGAAATTTCTCTTTCGGTGCTGTTCGTTGTACAGCGTATTGTATATATATATCAGAAGTAGATAATAGATATAGACTATATATGTTATATTATACTATATATAATATATATATATATATATATATATATAATAATAATATATATATATATATATATAGTAGAGAGAGAGAGAGAGAGAGATCGGTTATAACGAGGGCATACCCAGCGATTAGGGCAAGCGATTTGAACACGACAAGGGATGATGTCTCGAACGATTTACTATACACACAAATTAGAATCCGTGCAATTTGTGCACCGTTAAACAATAATCGTTCTTCTGCATGTTGGCCCAAGCTAGTGTAAACGGCTAGCAGTCCGATGCGACTATGAGACTCAGCGTAGGTATGTGGTCGTACAGCATATGACCGTTTTGTGGAGCTTACATACACGTACAAATTTAGCTCTAACTATATAGGTAGCCCTTTGCCCCGCCACAGGCGGTTCCTGTGTCGCCGCGAAGGGCCACAATAGTTCAAACTAGACTATGTGTTTAGTAGGTTCGTTATCCTGTCATTTTCGGTAGAAGGGAACCCCGCGAAGATAGATGTCTGTATTTCGTCGCGGTTCCAAGCGACGGAGTGTGCGTGACATGTCAGAAACAGTAGTTATTACAGTAGCTGTCATCACCAGTTGACCCTCCCGATGGCCAGCGATTATAAATGATTGTGGCAATGCTATTGTCAGTCCAACTACCGTAAATCATGAACAGCGAGCGAGTCGGTTAGGCTGTCGCACAATTGACAACTAACCAGTACTAAGTACTGCTGAAGGGGTCGAAGTCGTATCAGGTACTACAGATATGTACCCGAGGTACATATATGTATACACAAAGTGTACCAGACTTGTACTACAGAAGTGTACCCTATAACCCTAACCCTAACCCTAACCCTAACCCTAAACATACCTCATATAAAAATATATAAACATAATACTAAACAACCTAAAACTACCTCGGGTACATATCTGTAGTACCTGATACGACAACGACCCCATCTGCCTAAGTACTGCGTCAGCGACTTCTAAGCAGACATTTTTAGGAACTCACAGCGACCTTGCTCACCGCAGACACCAATCACCTCGTTACTAATGCTGAAGGGGGCGTTGTCGTATAGGGTACCCTAACCCTAACCCTATCATATCATATCATATCATATCATATATCTAACCATATCAGATAGTTACCTCGGGTACATATATGTAGTACCCTATACGACAACGACCTTTTCTGCATCACTACTCGTATCGTTAGTGTTTACCTGCGGGAGAACTTTGCTTCCCTGCTACGAAAGCACCTCGGGTCCTTCTAGGTTTACATGTATATTGCAAAAGCTCGAGTTTCAATGAACGTGACAGTCGGTAACACTTGCCCGCGTTTATGTTATCACCTGAGTGAATAATTGCAGGTGTATACGGCATTGATTCAGACTGGGCAAAGTCTAGCGTTCAGCTATTGTCATATGTTTCCATATATTGCTATATATTGCTGTTCGTTGAAGTAAGGTAGGGGAGTGATGACCAGTGCAAAGAGCTAGTCCTGAACATCACTGCTAGGAATAATATAGTAGGGGCAACACGGCTAGGAACAGCACAACTAGGAACAATACACTTAGGAACAACAAAACCAGCAGCAATACATCTGGGAATAACAAGACTAGGAACAACACACATAAGAACTGTACAGAT